GAGCGTTTACCTTGCTATAAATTGGCACAGAAGCCTATTGCCAGAGTCGATAGAAATCAAAAAGTATATGCTTATTTCGAAACACGAGATCGTTCAATTATTATAATTTAGCTGTCCTACCCATCGATCGTAGATCGGTCCTACCAATAAAACCGGTACGCGTTTGCCTGCTTCGTGGCAAAAATAACAGGGATGGTGATATCTGCCCGTTATAGATATTTGTCACCCGAGGTTTGCGTTTTTTTTCCTCCTGTGTTTGTTACCGGCACAAAAAATAATCTCTAATATTTGGGCCGTCGACGTAAAATCGTTTCGAATTATTACATGTTTTAACAATGTTTCGGACAGAGGCGGATATAGTAATACTCTTTTCAAAGCTTAAACATATCAGAGTTCTCGGGAAGTAACACAGAACTTTCGTGGCTTAGCTGTGTTGATTGGGGCGAGACATCGACAAGACGTAAAAAATCCCAGCTTATGTAGCAATCGAAATCGAACTAAATTGCATAAAAAAAGAACCGCTTAAATTATCGTCCTATTCAACAACGTCAAAGTATATAATAGTGTAATGTTTAAAGAATGCCACACGATAAGCCCAAATCAACTTCGAATTTCGACCCAAAACGTATCCTCGCCAACAACCTTCCCCTAAAGAACCTTGGACCGCAACGCCTTTGAATGATAATCGACTGACTCATTACGTGATTCACACGAGTTGTCCGGCGCTCGACATTCCTGTCTTCGAGTGTATGGTTAAAGCGTGGATTTTATTAATTTGCCGCTGACAATTTACCGATCAACTTTGTCAAGTGGCCGACTGATTAAGCAACTAAGCAAGCCAACAAACCCAAAACTTGAAGAAAACAGGAGATATAGAACAAACATTTATGGATTTTTATTGCCTTGCACAGATTTGGGTTATATAGTATTGTCATCCACTTCTACCACTTCCCATATGGTCGCTATGGTCTCCAAAGTATTGCATACTGATTGAGCACCAAGTGATCCTCTCTTCTCTCATGCTGTACGTCTTATGCTTGTATGAAGACAAGGACGCTCATTACTGTTTACATTTATCAAACACTTACCAATATATTAGAGAACATAAGTTATTTGTAATTAGGCATCGTTAGTTCGTCGCTGAGAATGCGATATCAATGGAAATGGTTATACGGATTATCGTCCAGAAGAATTTAGGAGTTCCTCAAACTGTTACAGCAGGATTTTGTTTTTTTTTCTCTGCAGCTAATAGAATAAGAACTCATGAAGTGTTCACGATGAACTACAGCGATTAAGAAATAATATAGTGTGTGCTACAAATGAACGTGATTAGATTAGTGGCTATAGGGTGTATTTCAGGCCCACACCGATTGCTTGGCAATTATTCCGGTGACTTTTTACTGGGAACAAATCACACACGTTCAGCCGGTCGTAATTTAGGATTCCCCGTTTTATGGGTACCAGAGACTGGCGCACATACTTATATACGTTTAAATATATACAAATATAGACAATAAACACCCAGACAAAGCGCAAATATACCTGTTCATCGTACGAATGGTAGCCCGATGTGGGAATCGAACCCGCAATCCTCTGCGCAACTGTCAGAGCCGCTAACTACTGGTCTACCGAGTCAGTAAAACACAATGCAGTAATATACTGGGTGTTTGGACACCGCTTCCGAAAACGAATTTTTTTTACCGACAACGTTGTAAATTTTGGTAAATGAACAATGAGCTCGTTCACCTGTCTAAGCAATAAATACATAACTTAGGTGTATTTAATGACGAATGATTATTATAGTTGATAGCTAAATTATTAAGGAGGCTAAATTTTAAATAAGAGATGTTTCAAGTGCATTTAAATAATTTACATAATAAAATAACAAGTGAAACTGTAACGTTATTAAACTCTGTTAAAGACATTTACTATAATTTGTGGTCTTAATTTCAAGAGTTCTGATCTCGACCGTATCCAGCACCCAATGTACAGGAAAAAACCTTAGTTTAACAAAATAGGTACAACACTCGGAACAAAGCTACATAGGTATAATGAATTATATTAAACTGACGTACTCTGCAAGGCCGTAACCGTTCGTTATATAAATAAATAAAAATAATATATTTTCCGTGTAGCACTGAACTTTGAGAGCCACTGACTTACACTCGTAAACATTGTTCCTAGATACTGTTATCGGAGAGACGGTAATCTGTTAGTCACGTTCCTACGGCCATACTATGTGCTACAAAATTGTACTATTTTGTACATTGAGGTATCGACGTTTAAGCTAATGTTTACGTTTTTTTTGAAGGCCACGCCACCAGCTTAATTTATTTTATTTGCATGGTCTTGTGACGAGACCGTTAAGGCAATTTTTTTTATTGCCTTATTAGACAGACGAGCGTACGACCCACCCATTGAGGAGTAGTTACCGCCGCTCATGGACTTCGGCAATGCCAGAGGCCAAGAGCCAAGCCGTTTTTTTTTCCTACCTAAGCTGATAGCCTTGAGACCATATCAGCGTCACTTCAGCCCGAAACCCATTACTGCTTCACGGCAGAAATAGGCGAGGTGGTGGTACCTACCCGTGCGGACTCACAATAGGTCCTACCACCAGGTATTGGCCTATTGCCGCTGCTTTATATTGTCTTCTTATCCTCCTACTTGCATCGTGTTCTGCAGTACTGAGGGCCGTGACCTTTACGGAGCTCTTTTTGGACTATGCTCCTCCATTGCTTAATATTAGAACAGAGAAAAGAGGAGGATTGCCGTCGGTATGTCACCTATCCATCAATCATCTATCAATTAACCCGAACAATGTCTTCATTAGCCCAGAGGAACCAAATCGTCTCTGAAATTCTGCTGTGGAAGAAAGCGGGAACTCACCACTAGGTATTTTCCTAAGAAACATTTTATGAATGAGTTGCTTCTTAAATTCTGTCATAATAAAAAAAATTAAGCGACAAGATACCAATATAACCGAAATACTTATTTTTATGAATTTATTTCCCACAATCGATAAATCGACCTTTTAACCTCAGTGTGGATGTATTGAATAAAAATTTCACCAAACCACCTGTTATAACTAACCGGATTTTTTCCATATACACAACAAACACTCGACGGTAAATAAACCATCTTTCTTATGCGTTTAAATGGAAACTAATTATGTAATAATATTACATCATTCGTTCGTATTTAGGTTTTATTTTTATTTTTTTAATTGCTTAGATGGGTAGACGAGCTCACAGCCCACACAGCTCACGCGCCACCCACCTTGAGATATAAGTTCTAAGGTATCAGTAAAGTTACAACGGCTGCCCTACCCTTCAAACCGAAACGCATTACTGCTTCACGGCAGAAATAGGCAGGGTGGTGGTACCTACCAGCGCAGACTCACAAGAGGTCCTACCAGTAATTATTCAAATTAAAATTTGCGGTTTGATTTTTATTACACGACGTTATTCTTTCACCGTGGAAGTCTATCGTGAACATTTGTTGAGTACGTATTTCATTACAAAAATTGGTATCCGCCTGGGATTCGAACACCGGTGCATCGCTCAACACGACTGAACGTCTTATCCTTTAGGCCACGACGAATTCATTATAAATTAATTCTGCTTTCGATCAATTGTGGTTTAGAAAAAAATAATCGATTTTAGCGATAAACATTTTCAATGCACTTCTGCGTTCTAATTGTGTATATGAGTCGTCTATTATCAAAGGTGGCAATCTGTGCATTTGGACAAAAAAATGTTATTGATATGTCAATACAGATTGATTTGAATATAATCGTCTCCTTCAAAGAATACGGTACAAAACCTGCATTAAATAAAGGTTAATAGTTATCCTGTTATTTATCTAAGATGTTGTTCAGAAGAGTTTTGTGACTGCCAATGGAATACAAAGTCAATAATTCGTTTTTCTGATTTACCAATAATTGTCCAAAAGTCAGATTGCCGGCTTTGATAATAGTCGACTCATATAAGGTATTATTTAATGGACGTGCATTAATCTACACTTTATAGTTTAAATTATTTTTATGATATTTTACTTAAATATTTGACTAAATTGAGCAGCATATTAGGAGTTTATTTTACACGACTTTACATAGCATGATCAGAGTTTATTTTAACCTTTTGACTGCCGCGTAGGTCACCGGTGTCCTACGCGGCGCACTGAAGCAATTGCCCTTGGCAGACTAGTATACGGCCCACCTGATGGTGAGTGGTTACCGTCGCCCATGGACGTCAGCAAAGCCAGGGGCAGAGCCAAGCCGCTGCCTGCCGTTAAATACTCTCCACGAGCCTAATTTGAAGAATTTACTGGTGGTAGGACCTCTTGTGAGTCCGCGCGGGTAGGTACCACCACCCCACCTATTTCTGCCGTGAAGCAGTAATGCGTTTCGGTTTGAAGGGTGGGGCAGCCGTTGTAATTATACTGATACTTTAGAACTCATATCTCAAGGTGGGTGGCGGCATTTACGTTGTAGATGTCTGTAGGCTCCGGAAACCACTAAACACCAGGTGGATCGTGAGCTCGTCCACCCATCTAAGCAATAAATAAAAAAATAGCATTCTGAGTCGCCTTATGGTTATTATGTTTTAGTACAAAATTACGTTTTTGTTGCGAACGAATCCGCGTGCGCATCTAGTGTAAATATATAAGTGTTCGTTTGCAGAGTTCCGAATAAATTTTCATCGCTGTGCAGTGTAGTTCCTGATACTCATGATGCCCCGTACCATTCGATGCCGCCTATCCTCCGCCAACAGATATTTCATTGTGTTGTACATTGCGTGCAGCGAAGAAAGCATTAGTGATAGCCGTTAACCAGAAGCATTGACCTGTAAACTGTCACATGCAGCCCGCTCGTTCCGGGTCTAGGTGACCTGGTTTTGGAGTTTTGCTAAAATTAACGAATACATCCATACTTCAATGTTAGTTTAAGCCTTATAGCGTTAATACGGTTAGTCGAAGCAACATAACTATTGCTCACTCACCGAAGATCATCTAGGAATTCGTTCACGGCCGATATCATTGTTGAAACTGTAAACATTATAAACAAAAATTAGAGTATACAGTTTTTAAAATATTTTTTTTTATTGGCTGGTAATTAAACCTTTGAGTGTAAAATCTTAGGCCACTTTTGCGCTGACGGTCTCATGAGTCGTCTATTATCAAAGGTGGCAATCTGTGCATTTGGACAAAATGTTTTTATTGATATTTCAATACAGATTGATTTGAATATAATCGTCTCCTTCAAAGAATACGGTTCAAAACCTGCATTAAATAAAGGCTAATACTTAACCTGTTATTTATCTAAGATGTCGTTCAGAAGAGTTTTGTGACTGCCAATGGAATACAAAGTCAATAATTCGTTTTTCTGACTTACCAATAATTATCCAAAAGTTACATTGCCGGCTTTGATAATAGTCGACTCTCATATAAGATCGGCCCAGTGTGAAATTTATGTAATTCAACGTCGAAACATGTCGGAAGGCAGCGAAAGTTTATTTATCTGAAGTGTATCAAGAGAAACCGGTACTGGCGAACTACTTGCACGACATGTGTATATGCGTTCGCTTACGTCATCACGATAGGGTTGACAGCGGAATTAATCTTTTTTTTTTCCTTAATAATGATCATTGTTTAGATGAGTGGACGGGCTCACAGCGTCACTCACAAGACGTTCTACCATCACGCAAAATTTTGCGGGTTTGATTTTTATTACAAGATGTAAGTCCTTAACCGTGGAAGTCAATCGTGAACATTTTTTAAGTACGCATTTCATTAGAAAAATCGGTATCTGCCTGCGGGATTCGAACACCGTTGCATCGCTCGATACGTATGCACCGGACGTCTTATCCGTTAGGCTACGACGACTTCTATCTAGTGAATCGATGACATCTTTTTTTTTATCCTACCTAAGCTGATGATAGCCTTGAGAGGCTGTGTCATCGTAACCGGGCGAGTAGGCGGGGCTCAAACCTGACGTTGTTGCTAACACGAACCCTAGCTAGAGCCGTGCTTCGCAGAATCTACCACCGGATCGGAAACGCGACCCACTGAGAAGAACCGGCGAGAAACTCAGTGGGCTGAGTCTGTGGGTTCGATGACATCAACATTAGTGTAACATTTAAATACTATACCAACACTCGCTTTGCGGGAAAGGGCTTTAAACATCTATAGTATCTCAGAACGTAATTAGGAAGTTTAAATTACCAACGCATGAAAGACATTAACGGTAGGCAGCGACTTGGCTCTGCCCCTGACATTGCTGAATTCCAAGGGCGACGGTAACCACTCACCATCAGGTAGGCCGTATGCTCGTCTGCCTACAAGGGCAATAAAAAAAAAGTCTTTGCATCGTTAGGCGGTTAGTGGTTAATCTTCGGAAAGGACATCCGAGATTTGAATGGACTACGTCGTCAGTATTTAGGGTTGTAATTTCATTTTATTGCTGTTGCGATTTGCCTTTTAAAAACGACACTAGACTACTATTCAATCAAACGAATCATCCAACCCTAGTGAGTGTCATGTAAATCTGAGCGCTATCTCTTCGAGTTCAAATTGTTCTGTTTATATACCATTAAATTCTCAATATAGAAACGAAGATGGATGACAGCAACCCTATGTTCGAATTTTTCTATAAAAAAACGCATGCTTAGCTAACACGACAAACTAATTCTCGATTCAAACACGGGTAGCAGAGTACGCGGTAAAAGTGCATTCATATCGTATGCATATCGTGTGAAGCTTGTAAAGCATTTGCAGAATAGGAGAATCGATAGATTGAACTCAGTGGCGTAAATTAAGAAATGCCCAAAGACCAGCCACTGCGGCCTTGTTCACTGACAACTGTAAGGATGATGGTCATGTTACAACGATTGGCCAATGCCTATTTAAGAAAACTAGTGGTCCCCTTAGTAATAGAAATTCTAATGTCAAAGGCTATTAATATACTTCTATAATCACAGATTTCACCAAGACTACACTATAGACAAATAATAATAAAGACAAACAATTTAATCTATTTGACCAGACTTTCGCAATAAACAAGAGGGTATACCTGCGTGGGTGTCTTAAATACATGGTAGTGTGTGTTTATTTGATTTTATTGATTTAATGTATTTTTATGTATAATTTTAAAAAGATATTACCATTCTGTACTCCTTCTCTATATTCTCTAAGTGTGGGAAATTCCATACTCCACCGTCTGCGCAAATTTTCGTAAAAAGGGATACAAAGTTTTTGCTTCACGTATTAATATATAGATAATTTCATGCTGTGATACGCTACAGTGATCGTCGAAGGCGATGAAGAGTTCGAGGTGTAATTTAAGCCAGACACAATCCAATGCGTTTCTCGCCATATATTGTAGGTCGCGATTCCGGTGGTAGATTCGGCGAAGCACTGCTCTTGCTAGGGATGAAATTAGCGATCTTCCTCCCCGCAAGCTCGCCTATCAAGGCGATTAGGTAGAATAAGAAAACTCCTAACTTTAAACAGGAATGCATGAGTGCTTCATGGCTATAAGCAGACTCGCATTCGTATGGAATACGTCCTGGAGCCGGTAAACAGTAATTATACAGTTTAACCGCAACACTATATTGCAACCACAAGCTATAGTAATTAAAAGTATATATTATAATACAAACAACCTTATCACCAAGTGACTTCCACGATAAGTAACTTATAAATTGTTTTATGAATACGTTAACCTGTATTGAAATTATAAATAACGAACTTTTGCAATTTTATAAACGCTACAAACAATTCTAGCAGGTATCCCGCCGAAACGGTAATGAACTACAAAATATGTTGTTCGCTTACAAAGCTAGTAAAGATATCACTCGTTTTAGTGAGTTCATTTTTCAGCGCGTAATGTAAAGCATTTGGCAGGCAAATACGCGTTCGGCTCTAGAGTGTGGGTAATACGATATTTTATTAGTACTTTTTACATTGCTTGCATTTTTGCTAACTATTCTAGTAACGTTTAAGGGAGCTCACAGGGCTCAAGTTGGCGAATTCGCAAACACTAGCCCTAGCAAGAGCAGTGCTTCGCAGAATCTACCACCAGGTCGGAAATGCGGCCCACAGAGAAGATCCGGCGAGAAACTCAGTGGGCTGTGTCCATGGGCGAGTGAGTAATACGATCTTTTATGAGTACTTTTTACATTGCTTGCATTTTTGCTACCTATTCTAGTAACGTTTAGGGGAGCTCACAGGGCTCAACCTGGCGAATTTGCAAACACTAGCCCTAGCAAGAGCAGTGCCTCCCAGAATCTACCACCAGGTCGCAAATGCGGCCCACAGAGAAGATCCGGCGAGAAACTTAGTAGACTGTGTCTTAGGATTAATTAGTTCGCCGAACACTTCGTCGCATCCGACGAATTCGACGAGAATGGTGACCGGTGCTTGGGGTGCTTAAAAGCACCGACAGTGGATCGAGAGGATCCGACTGACGTGTTTTGGGCAACGTCATATATATTTACCATTCGGTTCGCAGGATCGAGTATGTTGTTGTCAATTGTATTTATAACGCTTATATCACCTTTTCAACCTCAAGACTATTTCTGCTTATGCCTAGCCGGTTGGTTAATCTGCCGCAAAAATCAAACTACCTACCTTCCTACGTTGCACCGCGTACTAACGGAATGATCACACGCGAAATCTATCAATGACAAATAAAATCGTTATAAAATCTTCCCACTAGACTAAACGGGCACGGAACAATATGTATTGAATAAACATGTGCCACGACAATAGGACGCAGTACCTTATTTTAAATAAACAATGAAAGGAAGACAAGATCGTTGTTACGTCGAATAACTCGTAAAAAATAGCCACTAGCCCGGCCAAGCAAATTAAGGATACACATATATATATGTTACTGGGAACAAACCGTACGGTCATCCGCACCTACTTTGGGATTCTCTGTGTTATGGAGTTGAAATATAACTATATTTAAATCAATGGTTATGGGTATCAGAGACAGAGAAAGATGCCTATACATGTTTAAATATACATAATGATACTCCAGAATGAACAATAAGACTTAATTTATAAATAGTTTTCTGTAATATAATAAGAAAACAATATTTAAAAGCCCTTTTTAAATTAATATTTTAAATTTTCTAAATATTTTAATTCTTAATAAATGACAGACAGATGAGTGAATTCGTCTAAGAAAAATATATTTTTTTAAATAGTAATAACATCGTGTGGAGTCCGAAATATTCGAGTGGTAAAAAAAAAGGATGCCCCACCCTTCAAACCGAAACGCATTACTGCTTCACGGCAGAAATAGGCGGGGTGGTGGTACCTACTCACCCAGACTCACATGAGGTCCTACCACCGTTAAAAAACTGTAACTGTACTGAGACCTTAAAACTTATATCTCAAGGTAAGTGGTGGCATTTAAGTTGTTGATGTCTATGGGCTCCGGTAACTGCTTAACACTAAGCAATAAAAAAAAACTAAGGAGTTTTAAAGGTTTTAAATACTAAAGGTTGTTCTTTGCGTATATAAATGTATAATAAAAGCCCATACAAAGAGCAAACAAACCTGTTTATCACACAATGTTTGCCCGATGTGGGATTCGAACTCACGACCCTCGGCGCCTTACTCAGGGCAGCTAACTACTGCACCACCGATACATTCAAATTGGTTTTCAACTCATCGAAATCACTTGACTACTAATGTACAATGAAACCTTGCTGTTACGTGAGGACCAAAGTACACCACCTCTATTTGATATTCTTATCGTTACAAATATTGAACATTTTCGATATTTTGTTAATAAATATTAGGATGTTAACGTATTTATTCAATTCGGAATTTAGACTGTGATTATTACCACAATAGAACAATTCTTAATCTATATATTAATACGTGAAGCAAAAACTTTGTATCCCTTTTTACGAAAATTGCGCGGACGGAGTATGAAATTTTCCACACTTATAGAGAATATAGAGAAGAAGTGGACAATGCTAATATTTTTTTTAAATAATACATTAAAGATACATTAAATCAATAAAGAAAAC